AAGTTTACAAGGTTGAAGATCAATGATAAAGAAGCTAAGCTGCAGCTGGTTACTGCGTCAGGCATCACGTTGATTTGTCGAGACACTTGGTGTATGCTGGGACGACCACCGCTTGTCCACACAGACCACACAGCACGAAACGCATCCGGCGGTATTTTGAAACTTCTCGAAGAGTTGCATTGTCAGGTCAGTTTCCGTGATCAGCACATTCGTACAACCTGTTTTGTGACAGACCAACCAGGATTGTAGTTGCTGGGTCTCGATTGGATGGAGGAATTGAAATTACTTGACCAGTCAGTTAACAGTATATGCCGGAAATTACAAGTCGAGAAACCCGCAGAGACGCAGAATATGAACCTCGAACTTTACAGTCAAATTGCAAAACTGAAACGACGCCACGAAAGTTTGTTCCAACCCGGTCTTGGATGCTGCCGGATAGCCAGAGCTGAGCTGAACCTCAAACCAGACGCCAGACCAGTCTTTAGACCAAAACGTCCAGTGCCGTACGCAACACAACCAATAGTGGAGTCTGAGTCAAATTGGCTGCAGTCGGAAAGCATAATCGAGCGCGTACATTACTCAAAATGGGCGCCACACATTGTTGTGATAAAGAAAGGAAACGGCAAGGTACGTATTTGTGCTGACTTTTCAACCGGCTTAAATTCCATGTTGAAGAACCACCAGTACCCTTTGCCTATACCTGAAGATTTGTTCACCAAGCTTAACGGTGGAAAATGGTTTGCGAAACTCGATCTAGCTGATGCTTACTTACAAGTTCCAGTAGCCGAGAACTGCAGAACTCTATTGACGGTCAATACGCATCTGGGTCTATTCCAATACAATCGGTTGCCATTCGGAGTGAAGACTGCTCCCGCCATTTTTCAACAAATCATGGATACGCTGCTGAACGATATCCCTGGGGTCGCAGTATACCTGGATGACGCATTGCTTATGGGGTCTGACCCACAAGCATTTCTGGCCACGTTAGAGAAAGTGCTCACTCGTCTAGAAGAAGATGGTTTCCGGGTACGAGCGGAAAAATGCAATTTCCTGATGGAAAGTGTCAAGTTTCTTGGGTTCATCATTGACAAACATGGCCGACGTCCGGATCCCGCTAATATAGAAGCTGTCAAGCAAATGCCACCACCAAGGGATGTTGCCGAACTTCGTTCATTTCATGGTCCTATAAGTTATCATAGTGCCTTCCTGCCAAGTCTACACCAGACAAGAGGTTCTCTAAACGAGTTGCTGATGAAAGGGAAAGAATTGCGATGCACCAAGGAGTGTCGACAATCCTCTGATATAGTTAAGCAGCGCTCAGTTCTGATTTACTTTTGACTCACTTCGACCCAAACTTGGAGATTGTTGTTGCTTCGGACGCCTCCAATTATGGCGCAGGTGCTGGCATTTTTCACGGGTTCCCAGGAGGGGAAGAGGCCATTACGCGCGCAGCACGATCGCTGACAGTGGCGGAGAAAATTTACAGCCAGATTGAGAAGGAAGCGCTGGCGATTGTCTTCTCAGTGAAACGGTTTCATAAGATGCTATATGGTAGACATAGGTAGGAGCAATCAATTCAATGGGGGAAGTAATGAGGTAAGCGGAACCAATGTCCAGACACGAGGTCGCGCACAGGCTTACCGCGGAGCACGTGAGTTGTCTGCTGCATGCGAAGGTCACCAGCACAAGCGTGGAACGACCTTCGACTGTTTTTTCCAAATTTGCGAATCGAGTGCAAACTGATTGGCCAGCAAATACAAGCCCGAGTCAACGGAGGCGAACCATTCTGCCAAATATGGAAAATCCGTGGGACGGAATTAACTCACATTGGCTGAGAGCCAAACGCTTCCAAAATCAGTATGTTTCGTTCACCAATAAATAGAACTGACCTATCGTGTAGAATAGACTACCTGTTACTGAGCCTTGGCCTTCTGTATCCCGTCGGTTGGTTGGGCGCCTGGCTGAGTAACCACGCGGTCGTAGTCTCGCAGGCGCA